GCGGAAGCAGGACAACAGGAAATGGAAATTGACAAGTCGAGAGGTCTTATCCTGGCCAAGGTTGTTGAAAGAAAAAGGGAGAGAGGACAGGTTGTCTGAGGATGAGCCCATCTGTAGAGAAGAGAGAAGGGCCAAGCAATTTAGATTTCTTTCTTTATATCCAAATGTCATCCCTCTTACAAACAACATACACAATATGCAATGTGAGCTGTTCCTAAAAGCGCACTCGCCTTGTGAAGGACACGCTCCAGACCTGCACCCAGGCTGTTGATGTTGTCTTGCAGCTCTTTGGTTTTACTGTTAATGGTGTTGCGTTCTGGATGTGCCAGGCTGGACGCTTCAGAGGAGAGGAGGGTGAGGGGATCGGACCACGCCAGCAGCAGAGATCGAGCCAAAGAAAGCAACTCATCCTCCTGCAGAAACAATCACAAATCTTCATTTATTGCCCATCTGTTCCGCTTGTAATTACACACAAGACCACAAGAGGTAGATGTTTACCTATGGTTATCCCTGCCTGCACATTGAAGTTGGTACAGAGAATGTCTAATTGTTAGACCATCCGTTAGACGGGCTCTGGTTGGTATTAAAAACAGAAGTTTTTTTGTGAAACGGCCTCTAGAGCAAGAAAAGGCTAGGGTGCAACTCGATTTTGTCTACTGGTGAATTTAAAACGTAGGTTGACGTAAAGCGATTGTGTCTCTTCAGAAGACTTGGATTAAACAGCTCGATTCACATAAAGCCCTGGTTTCACAGACATATTTTAACATGTTTCATTGTTGATATGTTTTATTGTTGACATTGTTTTATGTCAAGATGCACAAAACTAATGATTTATTTTACGGCATATTCATAAAAGCTACTTAAATGTCTTAATTAAACCAAGGCCTAGACCTGGATTAAACTGTGTCTGTGTGACCAGGCTATGGATTTATGATCTCTTTAAGAACTTTTTAGAGTCAAAGTGTTGGTTGAATGGGACTTTCAAAAGAGGGACAAACATTTCGTAGATATTTCTTCATTTGCGTTATGAAGATGAACAAAAATCCAATAGATTTGAACGGCATGAGTGTAAGTATAGCCTACATGACATTTTTTTTTT